GTGATAATTCGCGCTGCTCTATTTTGTAATTTTTGAAGTTTATCAATTAGATATTCACAACAGTTGCCCCATACCAAGCTACAATAATCAAAGTGTGACAACACAATGGCATTGTAGATTTTCAATAATGTTGATTTGGGAACAAACTGTTTCATTCTTCGCATCATCCCTATTCCTTTTGAAACTTTCGTTACAGTATTTTGAATTTGGTCGACCCATGAAAGACGCTCGTCAATAATGACTCCTAAAGTTTTTGATTTATGAACACGTTTAATTTCTGACTCACCGAGTTCAATTTTAGGATCCCCTATTTTATTTGATATACGTTGTCGTGAGCCGATAATCATATATTCAGTTTTTTGTTTGTTGAGTGTAAGTTTGTTTGCAAGTAGCCATTGATGCACATTTTCTAAGTCTGCGTTTAAGCGTTCTTGTATTTCATTGCCAGTATCACCGTGAGTTGAGATGTTTGTGTCATCAGCAAACATGCTTGCTGAAGACAGACTCAGACAATTTGGTAGGTCATTTATATAAAGCAAGAACAGCAGTGGGCCTAGGTTTGAACCTTGAGGTATGCCACATTTAACAGTCCTTGCCTCAGACATTGCTTGGTTGACCTTGCAGATTTGAGTCCTATTTGTAAGATAAGATCGAAACCATGCAAGTGTATGTCCTCTTATTCCATAGATATGCACTTTCTTAGTTAATATATGGTTGTCAACGCAGTCAAACGCTTTTTTGAGATCCAGAAAAATAACACCGTTCAAACAACCCTTGTCCATATTAATTAACCATTGGTTTGTAATGTTAAGTAGGGAGGTTTGTGTGGAATTATTTTTTCTGAATCCTGCTTGCTGTTCCGTAAGTATGCCGTTAGATTTAAGAAGAAATGAAAACTATATACAGGGCATTTTTTAAAAAATTATACAACTATACTGGGGTAAGTCTCAATGAGGGTTTTTTGATGTTTCTATGTAGTTAGATTCATACATGCATGTACATGCAGACCTTGGAAATATATGTGAAAATGTACGCTGGAAATGCTATAATAGTACATGAAACCTGGTTATGTCTTGCGCACTTTTCTGCAGGTGGGCAGGTCTAGCTACTAGGCCAACAGACAGCAAACAGCAAGCTTCGGTCCAGCTATATGTCCTATACATGGGAGGTTTCACTGCCTGTATCATCTTATAACAATGTCACAATGAAACAAACTGTTGAATATTTAGATCAACTTTCATGACTGCATGTTCACAAGCACGCAGCGGTAATACAGAACGCTTCGTCCAATTCGACGGAAATTTTGTAAAGCCATGTTACACGAGGCAAGCATATCAATCTAAAAAATAGTCACAGAGAGAATGTGAGCACGGCCTGCACTTTCGTACTTAACATACTCTTAAGGCCCTGTTACACGGTGCAATTTTTCATGCAACTTGTCTCGAAATGGCGTTGCGAGACAAGTTGCACGAGTCATTGCACCGTTTAACATGCCTTGCAATGGTCAAAATCGTTGCGAGACAAGTTGCATGAAGCATTGCAGAGAGTAGAAGTCGGTTCTACTTTTGGCAACGATTGCACTAATTATTTTTAGCATTGCAGCGTGTAACATGGCTTCATGCAACTTGTCTCGCAATATTTAATGCTTGGAGAGTTCCTATTGGCTCTCCCCAGTACACGCTTTACTTTAATTAAAATTTGACGCCAAATAGCGCCTCTCCCTATTCTCTTCGATCGCATGCCTCTGTCCCGTATCGTTGCGAGTTGCATGAATATCATTGCAGCGTGTAACACCTCTTGCAATGCATTATCAAAATCTTTTTTTAACCATTGCGAGACAAGTTGCATGAACGAAGGCAGCAAACGCATAGTTATGAACAGAAAAAAAACAATTAAATATTTATTACCTGCGTTATATCTTAGGGAAAATCCCTCTGTTTCATTCGATTATATTGGCCATATGTGAATACAATTAATTAGTGTGTCTGGTCTCAGTGTTAGCAAGTTTGATCTTTTGACTTCGATTGACGAAATGTCCCAGGAATGACAATAAATATATAATTCTAGGCTCTAGCCTCTAGCTGCTCCTACAACGGACAGTAAGCTCAATTAATGAGAAATCCTTATTTGTCAGTTGACTTACGAATTTAAACAAGAATTACCGTTCTGATGCACAATTTCTGTAAATAGAATTCGGAATTTCATTTTTATGCGAATGTGTGAAAATGAAATGACGACAAACTTACTGCACTATGTTCGTTTCATTGCAAATAGCTTTTTTTGGACCGTTTTTTGACCGCTTTTTCCGAGGCGGTGGATGCAAATCTATGACTTTCTTCCCGGCATGTAGCCATGACCTAATCAGAAATGCAGAGTGACAGATGAGTGTTCGTATGTGTCCGATCCTACGATATAGCGGCAGACTGTTCGACAGTCTTTGAAAGGAAAAATGAAAGAAATGGAATGAAAATATCGGTAGAGTAGAGTAAACCGTGGACCACGCTCACAAGTCACAATTTCCCTATGACCAATTTTGAGATATCACAACTTAGTTGTCAGAAACTGCGTACTAAGTTGCATTTCAGCAAAAATTACCTCGTGTATTGTATATACGAACACAAAAGGCAATTAAATATTTATATATTGCCTGCGGAAAATCCCTCTGTTTCATACTTTCATTCGAAATGCGGTGAAACTAAAACTGATTAACTATTTAACTTTGGTCATAATCAATAGGCTATCCGCTATCGCATGCATATACAGTATATAATATAGTGATAGATGAGTGGTTCGTATACACTCTTAAAAATAAGCGTGTTATATAACATACTTATTTTGTCCAGAAATTAACACGGGTTATTTAACACACTAGTGTGTTATATAACACACCCTAGGGTGTGTTTTTGGCTTGTCCAAAAATCAACACGCTTTACGTGTGTTATTGAAAAATGTGTGTTATTTAGCACACAACAGTGGGTTTAAAAACACACAACAGTGTGTTATTGTTAAGTGTGTTATCTAAAAAAGTGTGTTATTTAGCACATAATAGTGGATTGCTAAAACACACTTTTATGTGTGCTAAACAACACACATACTGTACCAGTGTTTCTAAACAGTAAACCCACAACAGAAACACACTTATACATGTGTTACAGAATTGCAGATAAAAGAAATGAATATTTTAATACTGGAATTGTGCATACACTTTATTACATGTACTTTAAAATATTTACAAATATGAATGGAAAATCTGGGATCTTTAATCAAAATGCGGCTTATAGGCTATAATCTATACAGCTATTTCAATTAAGGTTGTCCCCGAGCAAAGCGGAAAAGTCGAATACAAGCGCGAAAGGCTGGTGGGAATCGCTAACAAATTAATGAATTTGCCTTTCGCGCTCGTATTCGACTTTTCTATTTTCCAATTTCCGCTTTGCTCGGGGTAAACCTTAATCAGTGGTGTAGCCCTGGAATGTTAACAAGGGGGGCTCTCCAACACAGGGGGCAAAACTACAGTTTTACGACTGGGGGGGGGGGGACGTGAGCTTGTTCCTGAGGGACGAACAATTCATCAGTCGCTAATTAATATTTCTTTTCCCAAAATTGTTGGTGAGCGGAGCATTTTTCGCTACCACTTTTTCCTACCACTATTACTTTTCAATCTGAGACACTTGAATATTTTGAAATTGGATAAAGACAGGGGGCGTCACTAACCCCCTCCCCCCCCACACACACACAAGGGGTGTTTCGCCCCTGTTCTCCAAAAGTGTCCTGAACTGGCAGGGGGGTGTTTACAATATGATATTTTGGAAATTCTAAATTTTGTTAGGTTTTTTCTAATAATTGTGGGACAAACATTTAAAATTATGCTTATTAAAAACAATTGCTGTTAGCAATATAAAATATTCTGAGCATCTCAAAAGGGTATGTAATTCAAGGTTTCTACCACTTTTTGTAGATGCAATTCTAAAGAACATTCTCGTTTAAGATTATTCAACAATTATAGGGGGGGGGGGTCTTGGCCCCCCAAGTAAACATGAAATTTTAACAAGGGGGCTGAGCCCCCTGAGCCCCCCTCCACTACACCACTGAAATTAATTGAAATACCTGTGTACACTATGGTACGCAAAGTTTGCCAAAAGTTTGGCCCTATCAAAATGTAGAATATTTACAATATTGGTTGAATGATAAAACAGGTCAAGTAAAGTTTCTTTGGGTTTTTCGCTACTTATAAGTGCAAAGCAAAAGTAACTCTATGCAACAATATCGTTAATCACTACCTACACTGACACTGCTTACACAATTTCCACTCTGTCAAAAATGTGAATATATTATTTGTTCATTTAACCTTCAATCACACTATCACAGTCCGTTCTTCCTTCGGAAAATCTTTCCTCCGTAAATGTCAATTATAAAGGCATTCAGGGTCATCCACTAATTTTCTTCCATTACAAGGTTTGTGTCTACAGGAGACATATGATGTAAGATTGAAGAAAATTCCATGAGTACCAGGATAGGATTGTAAGGATCTGTGCACATCTATCTAGCAAAGAATACAAAAGAGCAAATGTATTAATGTATTAAAAAAACAAGGCTTAAGTACATATGTACATCCTACTCCCATGAGAAATGTATGGAAAAGCAGAACATATTTGCAAATATTGAAATAAATCTCAGGTGGATGCATTATTATGGGAGGGATGCATTATTATAGGGCATTCTCCTCCAGACAATGTTTGGAATTTGAAGTCATGAATGCTATTTCCTGCATTCTGAGCAATACATCAATTGATATTTATTAAATTTGACCTCAACGATTAAGAAAGTAAACCTTGCAATCTCTCCCTCAAAATAAAATTGTCTGGTGTCAGGCAGAGTAAAATAATAAAGAAGGGTGCATCAGGGAGCATTGCCCAGGATGTGCAAAGCGACACTACCTACATGCATGTATAGTAAAAACACTGTGACAATTTCATATGGTTTATAAATATGTACTCGGCATTAGCCCTTTGTGTTAACCCATTATAAGGTGCATTGCATGCCCATGCATCCTACTTTATTCTTTTAATCTGCCTACTGCAAGATGATTTTACAGGTACTTGTCAAGGAAAGATTTTGGTCCATGAATGGGTTAACTGGAGCACCTGTCAGTATGTTCGGTTACTGTAGTCCTTTAACTCGTTAAGTAGCATTGTACCCTTTCAGTGTTATTTTATTCCACAAGAAAAGACTGCTGGAACTTGATAGTGGCATTGTGCTAAGTGTTCCCTACTTGTTTTTTTTACATGTACCCTGTCTCAAAGCAAATCATCTCAAACCAAATCAAGGGTGAGTGTTGACAATTAATGGGTTGATGTGTCAAATCAGCCATCCATCTTGAGAGAAACGTCATGAATTTGGTTCAACATTAAATTCAACAAATAAACAACTCCCCCAAAAATTAAATTAGTGGAGAAAATTTCAGCTTCTAAGGGGAAGCATATATCGACAACAGTTAGGGAGTGACACATTAACCCTTCAATTGGCAATTTTCCCTACTTTATTATTTTACTCGGTCTAATGCCACATTATTTTACTCTGTCTAACGCTAGATGATTTTACTTGTCAGGGGGAGAGTGCTGTCACTCAATGTGCCATCTCAGTGATCTCACCTTAATTAATTAACACTACATGTAGCAATTAACCTACTTGATTACTTCAAAAGCATTTAACAGGGAAGCCAGTGACACATCAACAAATTAATCACTGGTACAAACATACAGTCCAATTGCATTTTTCCATT